CAGCGGGCGGGTCAGGAGAGGTCTGCCGCGCCATGTGGGTCACCTCCGGGGCAGGCGGGGATCGAACTCATGTGGAAGCGGCTTTAGGTTCTCAGTGCTGTGATTTAACCCGTTGGGCCACCAGGGAGGGCCAACAATCCAGTGGTTTTATTCCACTCACAATATTGTGTAAGCCTCACCCTACTTCCAAAACCTTTTCTTCACCTCAAACAAACTAACCATCAAGCAGGATTTTCAGTGTCTTAAAAGCAGAAGCATTTAAAAAGGCAAGTCTGTGACTAGACATGTGCTGGGCATTGTCTCCTCAGAGGAGATGCTGGAATAGAAGAATATGTGGTCGGAGGCTTGCGCTGTTGTATCTGCGGATGCCCACACGCACGTTCTAGGTCCTAAGAGATCTCCATAAGGGTTGAAATTAGGTCTGGTACGAAACCACACACCTCCACTCAGAAAGACCCGCTCAGGAGCGCCTTCTTCGTGACTCCTAGATGATGCCATGTCTTTACGGTGCTCTTCTCTTTACTCCAATTTAACAGGAGTACTCGGAAAGTGTGGTGCAGTTTTATCACACGACGATTGAAAGTGTTGACTTCCGGAAAGACACTGAGAAGTCCAGGCAAGCGATTAACTTCTGGGTGGAATCTCAGTCCCGGGGTAAGGAAGCCTGAGCTGGCGTTCTCTCCATTTCTAAGGAAACAAGTTGGCTCCATTTATCAAACCGTGCGTGTCTCTGCGTGTATTTGTGTGTGCACACTTGTGTGTGAGTGTTTCTGCGTGTATTTGTGTGTGCACACTTGTGTGCATTTGCAAATTTTCATGATGTGATGAACTAAGGACAGGGAGACGCTGGGGGAGGCTGAGCCGGGGAGGGTGTTACTGGGGAGCATCTGCCTGGAGAAGGGAAGGCAGGTTGGAAGTGGGTGCAGGGGGTTGAGCCAGCATCACTGCCCAAGAGAAGGTGCCTTACATTTGGGTCAGATGGGGCAGCAGAGACGGTGAGACGCGGTTGGACCGGGATAATATTAAGATATTACCAGGAATTTGCTCGTCACCAGAAGTGGCCACGAATGGGCTGGGCTGGGCTGCCCTCTGGCAGACTTGCTGCTTTGTGGTTCTTCGCCTCACTGCTCATTGCCTGTGGCTTATTCTTCCATATAGAAGGGGAATCATGCCTGCTTTGTGGCTGATGTGGGTGGAATGAGAGTGGGCAGGGGAACGTTCCTCCTGATGGCTTCCATCATACTTTGCACACCTGCATGCCTCTGGCTCCTTGCAAAGATGCATACTCTCCTGGGGTGAGTGCTTGGCCGGACGGTGCTCGCAGTCATTTTCTCAAGGAGAGAATAACATGGTGGGAGCTGTACTTCGAAAGGTCGAAGGTGGCATAAGATGTCTGATGATGACAAGTGATGAGAAAATCAAAGGAAATGTCCTCAGTGACAGGGTAGAGGGGGAGCTCTCCCCTGGCCCCCACCACTCTCATTCTCATCTCCACTTTTGCCCCAGTCACGGCTAAGACTGGTCTAATTTTCTTGGGTGAGTTCTTGAATGAGACAAATTCTTACTTGGAGGATGTTAAGCTGCATTAAAAAAAAAAAAAGATCAGTGTGTGTGGTACTTCTGACACAATGCCCAGTCAGTGTTCCCTGGCACCCCGTTTTACAAGGTAAAATCAAGGAGCTCTTCAGCAAGGACACGCTCACAGATGACACAGTGCTGGTGCTGGTGAATGCCGTTTACTTCAAGGCCAAATGGGAAAAATACTTCGACAGTGAAAACACAGTCGACGCGCCCTTCCTGCTCAGCGAGGTACTCAACACGTTTTCTAATCACTCTGCTCATCACTTCACCAAGAACGGTTTGCGATTTGCTGTGCGTCCAATCTAAAAACCATGTCTCTGGGCTCTAGCTCACCTGCATGATAAAATATTTTGTTATTATCAGAAGCCACTCCCTGACGTGTATGAAGTCCTTTTGCGTTTCCCCCCACCTCCCAATTTTATAAAAGTGGCTTAATGCTTTCCATTTAGTTGAGGGGGAACAAGTGCAAATGTTAACTTACTTAGCCAAATATATGCATTGATGTTCACAGTTTTGAGCCTCAGAAAAACTGCTCTAAGCCCCCAGGCTGGAGTGTAGGCGAGAAGGGAAGGTGGGATCCGGCCAGCACTTGTGAGCTGTGTCAGTCTGTCCCCGCTGCAGGTTGAGGACACCCCACACGTCTAGAAGTTGAGATTTAAGGTGTCTGCCTGGTGCCCTTTCCTCGGAAGCCTAGGGAATGAGTGTTGCTTTTAATATTAGATGCTACAGCTTTTCCTTTTCTCTGAGTATCCTGACATCTGATGCCCCTTTCAGACTACTTTGCATAGCTCTGTTAGAATAGAATCACTTGTGTTATAGAAATTAAAAAACATAGGAAGTTCAGCTACATACTTCCTCTGGGGTCGCCGAGTTGGCTTAGGGTGGCCTGTAGGGGCATGGGATGTGTGAGTTGGGAAGGGGTGAAACCGGTAGGGGAGAGAGAGGGCTGGCTGGCCATGGGCCAAAGCCTGGATAGATAGTCTGCTAACAAATGGTCTTAGTTGCTGAAGCACTTTTTACAATCTTGGCAAAATAAAGTGTCGGTAGAGCCAGGGCCACCCGCTCTGTGGACAGAGGACTCTCTTGGGCCCAGAATGCCTGATGAAGACCCTTCCGATCCCCTCACAGCAAGCTCCTGCTTTCAGGGAGGTTGGGGGCCAGGTGTGTGCCCCAGCCCATGAGGGCAGTTCTGGGACCTTCTCTCTCTCTCTGCTACAGAATGAAAGTAAGACCGTGAAGATGATGCATCTCAAAGGCCCCTTTAGCCTTGGCTTCATCGAGGAGCTGAAGACCCAGATCCTTGAGATGAGGTACACCAAGGGCATGCTCAGCATGTTCATCCTGCTGCCGGCTTGCTCTGAAGATAACCTGAAGGGCCTGGAAGAGGTAAGCTGCCTCTGCAGGTCTCTGAAGCACGACTGTTGGGTAGGGCTGTCCTCGAAGCTCAGCCCTTTGCCACATTTTCTTACAGATCAAGGAGTCCAGATGATGAGTATCTTGAGAATCGCTACAGCTTCCCCTTTCTCGGAATATCCTGACTTCTACTGTCCCTTTCACACGATTTTGCTGTAGCTCAGCTAGAGGCCTGTTGGCTGAACCTGTTTTGCATGCTTGTGTTAGGCTGAAATAGAGATATTGATAGTGGAGTAGAATTGCTTGTGATGTGGGAATTAATAAACACAGGAAGTTCAGCTACAGATTGTCCTATTGGGTATGGAGAGAGAGAGGGAGAGAGGAAAATAGGGGAAAGTACCAGCACAGTGATTGCAATAAGAAATATTTAAAATGGATTGTATGCCAGAACTATGTAAAGTATTTTACACACATTTTTTTTTTGCACCCCCTTGCAAAAGCCTCAATGTCATCTCTGTTTGACAGAGAGGAGCCTGAACTAAAGATTGCTCAGCATTAGCCAGGCACTCATCTTAATCAACTGAGCTTGGCTAGATTTTTTTTTTTAAGATTTCTGTATTTATGCATACAGAACTGGGGTACAGGCCAGAGGTGCGGGGGGCGGTGGTGAGAGGATTCACCAGCAACAGAGTGGGGCGCAGAACAGGCCAAATGATGAAGTACACTGCTGAGGGGAGCAGCAGGCGGGACAGGAGAGGTCTGCCGCGCCACGTGGGTCAGCTCCCTGGCCGGGATCGAGCTCGCACTGACGCGGGGCGGCCGGCTTTGCAGTGCTGCGCTTTAACCTGTTGTGCCGCCAGAGAGGGCCTGAACTTGGCTGCAGTTGAAAATTCCTCTGGCAGAACACTGGAGCCCAACTTGTCTTTTGCTATTTAAAGTGGACTGAGATCTGCTGAGAAGAGTTTTAGATGAAACGAGAGTGTTTTTGAGGGGAGGGGACAGAGTTTGAAGAGGGTTACTGCTGACATAGTCTCGGGTCTTTTAAAGCACTTGGGGGCTTCTTTTCAGGATCATAACCTGACCCTAAACATTCATTTCTTCCTCTGATAGCTTGAGAAGAATATCACGTATGAGAAAATAATGACCTGGAGCTGCTCAGAGAATATGCCAGAAGAAAACGTAGCTGTCTCCTTCCCCCAGCTGACCCTGGAGGACAGCTATGATCTCAACACTGTTCTCCAGCACATGGGCATCACGGCTGTCTTTGATGAAACGAAAGCTGATCTTTCTGGAATCTCTCCAGATCCCAACTTATACCTGTCAAAAGTGATTCATAAAACCTTTCTGGAGGTGGATGAAAATGGCTCCGAGGCAGTGGCTGCCAGTGGGATTGAAGCCGCCACGAAGTCCGCAACTTCCTGGCAGACATTTAATGCCAACCACCCTTTTGTCTTTTTCATCAGACACAACCCCACCCAGACCGTTCTGTTCTATGGCCGGGTGGTCTCTCCTTGAAAGGGGCCCTCGGTCTAATACCAGGAGCTGGAACAAAGTGACAGTCCACCCTCCCCTGGCAGGAGACGGCCGCTCGTGTTTGCTGCTGTCAGAGCTGACCAGGTTCCATCACAGTCCTGCTCCCAGCCTCCAGGCACTGGCCTGTGCTTGACCTGATCTTTTTTTCACCCCGAAGTTGATTTTCTTCTCAGTGCATTAGTTCCCAGGGGCCCTTTCTCCCTCCCTCAGCTTTCACCACCCCAAACTTTCAAGGACCTCAATGAGTCCCCTCAATGAGTCAACAAAATTGAAGATGATACTGACTTTATTTACGTTACCTACCTCCTTATGAAAGAAGGCTGAATTAGGAAACTTGGAAAACACTTTAACATGGAGGCAGGACATTTACTTAAAGTGTGTTTTGGAAACGCAGCCCTGTTTCCACAGCCGCTGAAATCATGGCGGCCGCTGGGCAAGGTGTCCTGCCTCTCTTCTCATATCTTCTACCTCAAGGGGACGTCCTGTGATGTGCTTCTCACTTGGGGCCAGGTAGGAGTGGGGGAGGATATGAGTGATAGCTCAGGGGCAGAAGACTATCCCAGCTAGCACTCATTTTGCACAGAGCAGGAGCTTAGTATTTGTCTTGTGACTCTGAGGTGGCCCTAGGCAAGTGGCCAGTGGAAATGCAAGAGGTCAGTCTCCATTTCCTCACTGGGTCTTCCAGGTCACCTTCATGATGCATGTACCACTGTTTCTTCCTCATCCCTGTCCTCAGAGAATTCCCACCCGTGGTTTATTCCCACATCCCTAGCACATCAGGGGAGGGTGGGAAGGGCTGTTCTCACTGTGGGCCCCTCGTTGACCTCTCTGAACTCTGGCCCCATGGACATGTCTCAAGAGCAGGCCAGGGACTGACTCGACGCACATGGAGACCCCGTCAGGCAGGCTGTTGGCTTCCTGTTAAGCTTTAGTGTCCCAGAAACCCAACACTTGTGTGCCCGAGACTAGGGTCTGGGACTTCATTGTCTGACCTGTTAGTCTCAGTGCTTGGTGCCTGCCTCAGGCCACTGACAAGCTTCACTCAAGGCAGGTCCTCTGTCCTCTGTGGAGAGGACTTGTGGCTGTGGTGACGGCTCTGCTGTGGACTGTCCGCCCAGCTCCACTTTATGGCCAGGTAGAGCTCTGGCCACACTTTCTGTCATAGGCGGAAGCAGGTTAACTTCACCTGCACCCTGCTGTCCTTCCCCCAACTCTTCTCTACACTAGCAACTTTGTGCCCTGAGAGACAAGTACACCCCTGCTTCTTCCCGGTTTCTCATTGTCGAAATTTCTTTATGGAATAAAAAATTTCCTACTAGCAATGTGTGACATTTAGAAGCAGCTCTGCAAGTCCCTTACGCAATGCAAATCCCACAGGTCACGCTTAGCCCAGGGAGTCAAAAACGTGGTCTCTGCTCTCAGTCCCTTGGGGTCAGTGTTTGAGGGCTGATTTCGTGCTGACTCATCATCGTCCTAGACTCTGAGCTAGAAGGCCAGGACCTTGACATGGGTCTGTATCATCTGGCATAGCTTGCGTCATATTCTTTTCCTTGATAAATGCACTGGCGTTGAAATGTTTCAGAATTATAATCACGAGGGGAAATTATTGCTGTTCATAATTATGAGAAAATGATATTCTCACGTCTTTCTGTAAATCAATAAACACATTCTTTATTGATGTTTGATTGATTAAAGTATTTCCTCTTAGAGAATAAAGCACTTTTGTCATTATTTAAAATTTGGAGGTTGTGTTGCCAACATTTTTAGTGACACAAATGTAAATTTTTCACTCCCTGGGAAATTGACTAGTTTGCCTTCTATAGAAAACAGGGTGGAGGTTTCCAAAACATTAAAGATAGATCTACACTGACCCTCCCTGGTGGTGCAGTAGGTTAAAGTGCAGCACTAAGAAGCTGAAGCCACTTCATTATGAGTTTGATCCCCACCACGGAGGTGACCACATGGCGCGGCAGGCCCCTCCTGACTGCCCGCTGCTCCCCTCAGCAGTGTATTTTGTCGATCTGCCTGTTCTGCTCCCCACTCTGTCTCTGGTGAATCGTCTCACTGCCCCTGCACCTCTGGCCTGTACCCCAGTTCTGTATGCACAAATAAATACATCTTTAAAAAAAAATAGATCTACACTATGATCCAGCAACCCCTCTCCAAAGTATCCACCCAAAGAATGCAAAGACACTAAATGAAAGGATATATGCACTCCTCTGTGTATTGCAGCACTAGGTACAGCAGATAAGTCATGTAGCTGAGTGGATAAAGATGTGGCATATGTACATGGGGGTACAACTCAGTTATAAAAAAACAACCAAACATGAACTCTTCCAATTTGCCTCAACGTGGATGGAACTGGAGTTTTTAAAAATTATAATAGCTTAATTATACATCATTTTGTGCACTTATCCATCTCAGTTGTTACCCCCGTGGGCTTCCCATCATCAAATCACCTGTGTGCCATCACCACAGTCCAGGGCACTTTCCCCTGCCACCTCCCATTTTTGATCCCATTCCCCACTCCAACCCGTAAAATGTCTCTGGCATATAGTTCATTATTATTATTATTTTCCCCTTTATGCTCCTGCTATGAGTGAAATCATCAGTATTTTTCTTTCTGGCTTATTTCACTAAGCATGATCTGGAGGAGATTATTTTAAGTAAAATAAGTTAGAAGGAGAAAGAAAACATTGGATGATTCCACTTATATGTGGAATAAAGCAAAAAAAAAAAAGGAACAGAACAAAACAAACCAATGAAATGGGACGAAGAACTGAGGTTATCACGGGGGACAGAGAGGTGCAGGGGAGGAAGAGTGGGAAGAAGAGGACTATGATGGAGGATTATCGGTGTTTTGTCCTGGGCTTGGTTTGAGAATATGTATTTGTAGAGTGTGAGTCCAGCCACCTAATACATGCAGTGTTGTAAATTAATGTGACTCAGTAACATAATTACATTTTTTCTCACCCTGAAATATAGAAAGAGATAATACTAGTAATTCATCTTGATTAATGTTGGAAAAATGTATTTTGTACCAGTATTAGTTTCACCAACCTTCCACCATAGTTCCATATGAAAAGAGAAGAACGCCACAGTTCTAAAACCCAAGAGAATCAGACAATGGCTCATCAGGGTATGGAAGAGATACGTGCTGGCTGCAAGCACAGGGGACGGGATGGAAAAACGCGCTGCCGAGGGGTTCTCTGTATCACCTGAGGCAAACGCTGCGTCAGTCTGCCTGGTTTCTTCCCACACCTCCTTCCCCGGAGTTAAAAAATACAAATCTCTGTCTACATTCTGGACATCCATCTCTCTACTTAGGGCCTGCTGCTGTCTCCTACTCTCTATCTTTCTCATTGTTTTGTTTTCTTTCTCTAGCCATTTCTTTCGAAAGCCACTGTTTCGTTCTCTAGCTGCTGAGTAACACGCCATTACTCACTCCTTATTGGGGAAGGAAACTCTTCAACACAATTGGGAGAAGCTAAGGACAGGCGTTGGCTCTTTCCACCCTAGGTCGTTGAGTCATCATAAATAGAGCACTTTTGGTGGGAAAAGGACAGAAAGAGCTCTGCAGGCAGTGTCCTTAGCTGTGTGTATTTCATCCACCCTCTGTTTTGGGTACCAGAGTCAGGTTTTCAGAGATGACGGTTTCTGACATCAGCAGAACTACACAAGATGGAAGCTTTGTGAGACTCTGACAATTATGCAACATTGGGAGCTCTTGATTTTAAATTTTTGCACCAGTGAAACTGACCAGTCAAAATGGCAGCTGGAGACAGACACACCTTGCAAGATGGCAGGCTGCTATACTTCCCAGGAAGCCAGCCAGAGCTTGCATTTCCCTCCACTCAACAATGCTGGTGGGTAAAACAAACAAAGCAATGTCGATTCACTGCTGATTTATTTATAAATGAATATATAAGTATAAAGCCTTCTACAAATATTTCTGAAAGAGAAACTATGATCATGTAACTCCATGGATTTCTTAGTTTATTAGGTTCACAGGTGTTGTGTTTTCTGTTTTATTCAGCCCAGTTTGCCTCACGATCACCTAATTTTTAGTAGATATATCTCCCTCTAGATCCTCCCCAGTTTTACCTTAAGTCAGGCAAGCCACAACATATGTTGCTTCATCCCTGATTGGTGTTTACTTCTTTTGCATGTGCAACATTTAAAAAACTAGAATATCATTAACCTGAGGTGGAGCCCTGTATCTGGGGCGCCAGGGCGAGGAAGCTGTACAGTTGTCTCAGGGAATTTCTTTGTTCCACAGTTATGTGCCAACTTCAAACATGATCTTCATTCATTGCACGCATGTTGCAGTCTGGTTTCCCCAATCCCACTGTCTCATTTTTTCCTTTTTACTCAATGAAAAGAACACAAAACTCACTCTCACATTTGCATACCTTTTACCAATTTACTCACAGACTTAACAGTTAACTTAAAAATTCTCATACACTAGGCCCCTCC